TTGAGTAGTCTTCTCTGCTAGTATCCTCTCTTGTTGTTCCGTTAAATCTTTCAGGTAATCCTCAACAGTTAATGTTTTCGTTAATTGTTCACTTGATGCCAAAGATTCAGATGTGATATCCTCAGTAGTTTCGCTATTCATTGGCTCTAATGGAGCTAACGAATTATACGTACTTATAAATGGGTTATCTGTCTCTTTATTGCGTTCCTTATCCTCTCGAATGCTTGTAATTTCCATTTGATTGTTGTCATACGTGTTATTAGTTAGGCTATTTAGTTCCTCCGTTAAGTTTCTAAGACAATCATCAACGGACAATGTTTTTTCGAATCGTTCTGTGATATAAATTTGATCATTACTATATGTGTTATCTGTTGCTATACTATTTGTCTTATCCGCAATCGTTGGCCGGAAAGAGAGCGGTGGAGTACCAGTGTGATCATTACTGTATATGTTATCTGTTATACTATTTGTTTTATTCATAATCGTTGGACGGAAAAAGGGTGGAGTACCAATATGATCATTACTGTATATGTTATTATTTGTTATACGATTTGTTTTATCCGTAATTGTTGGACGAGAAGAGGACGGTGGAGTACCAGTATAAGGTATTGCTATCTCCCTATTGTATTCTTTATCCACTTCGACTTTCTCAACAGTTAATATCTTTGCTGTTTGTTCATTTGCTGTCAGATATTCAGATGTGGTATCATCAATATTTTCGTTATTCATCAGCTCTATTGGAGCTAACGAGTTAGGCGTACTTGTAAACGGAATATTAGTCTCTTTATTGCATTCCATATCCTCTCGAAAGTTTGTAATTTCCATTCGATTATTATCATACGCGTTATCAGTTAAGCTATTTAACTCCGTTTTTTCGAATCGCTCTGTGATATACATTTGATAATTACTATATGTATTATCTGTTATATTATTTATTTCATCCGTAATCGCTGGATAGAAAGAGAGTGGTGGAGTGCTAGTATAAGGAATTGCTATCTCCTCATTGTAATCTTTATCCTCATTGTATTCTTTATCCTCATTGTATTTTTTATCCTCATTATATTTTTTATCCTCATTATATTCTTTATCCTCATTATATTCTTTATCTTCATTATATTCTTTACCTTCATTGTATTCTTTATCCTCATAGTATTTTTTATCTGCTTCAACTTCCTCAATAGTTAATGTCTTCGCAGATTGTTCATTTACCGTCAAAAATTCAGATGGGATATCCTCAGTACTTTTGTTAATCGCCGGCTCTATTGGAGCTGAGTTAAGCATAGTCATAAACGGAACATCTGTCTCTTTATTGCATTCAGTGTCCTCCCGAACATTTGTAATTTCCGATTGATTATCATACGCGTTATTAGTTAAGCTATTTAGCTCCTCCGTTTTTCCGGATCGTTCCGTAATTTCCATTTGATTGTTATCATACGCGTTATTAGTTAAGCTATTTAACTCCGTTTTTCCGAATCGTTCTGTAATTTCCATTTGATTACTATCATTAGTTAAGCTATTTGGTTTCTCCGTTTTTTCGAATTGATCTGTGATATGTACTTGATCATTACTGCATATATTATCTGTTATACTATTTATTTCATCCGTAATCGCTGGACGGAAAGAGGGCAATGGAGTAACAGGAGGAATTACTATCTCTTCATTATATTCTTTATCCGATTCGATTTCTACGATTTCTTCAACGGACAATATATTTTGATCATTACTGTAGGTTTTATCTGTTACACTATTTATTTCATCCGTAATCGCTGGACGGAAAGAAGGCGGTGGAGTACCAGTACAAGGATTTGCTATTTCCTCATTGTATTCTTTATTCGTTACGACTTCTGCGGTTTCTATTTGATTATCGCACATATGATCCGATATATTATTTTGATTGTCTGTTAAATTCATTGCACACTCTTGATCCGCATCGTTGTTTTTAGAATTATCAGGAGAAGGTTCATTCAATTTAAGTTGATTTATCATATCTGATAATTCTATTTCTTCCTCTTTAATTTTTACAACCTCTGTGATGAACTGCTTCCTGGTTTTTTTAGTTGCACCAACTTTTGTTGTCTTTGCCTTTTTCGTTTTCGGATTCTTAGATTTTGAAGATTGTTTAGCGAAAAATGGACACAAAGGAAATCGTTTGTTATGTTCTTTACTTTATAATTTAATTCGATAGAAATTAAAAATTATATTTATAAATCATAAACATTCAAGAACATTAAAAACATATAGTTTTCTTACGTAGGATCATCTTTTGGTTCCCATCCTTCTAACCCTACACCACAATATTGACAAGTTACATTATCGAGAGAATCAAGTGTTGGATAGTAGATAAACCCCGCTTTAGCCATCTACAATTCCCAAACTAAGATATCAATAAATATGATCGCATTTTTTTTCTTTTTTTTTTCAAAGATATCAGTCAATTAAATTTTTAATTTAACAAAAAAAAAAAAATAATTATATTACCTTTTTAATTGTACCAACCCAACCTTTTTTTCCTTCATGAGGCCACCAGGTACCAAAAGTTTTTATTCTAGCTTCTTCCATCTTTTTAGAATTTGGTAATTTATCTTTATCGTCCCAACTAAAAGGTAGCTGTTCATCATTAAAAGTTTTTATTGAGCAGTAACAAATTGCCCAAGCACAATCTGGAGAATGTTTGGCATGTTCTTCAAACGGATCGTCCTGAGGATCCCAACCTTCCATCGATTTATGACATAGAAAACATACAACATTATCTTTTGAGTTTGGAACAGGATTAAAATAAAACCCTGCTTTTGCCAACTAAATAAAAAATCAAATTTTAATAAACTTTATAGAATTATCCAATTAACCGATTAATAACGAACCGTTCCAGGTGTTGCCTTATACTCCTCGGAGTCTTTGTAAGGCCATTTCACTTTTTTAGATTGGGTATAAAAAGAATTCAGCCGGTTTTCATATATGTGCATATTCATATTAACAAATTATAAAGAATAAAAATTACTTTAATTCTTGTATCACGGTCGCGACTATGACGCGTTTATATTTATCGCTATCTGAATGTGACACAAGATTAATATCACATGTCTATTTCAGATTTATTCAGTATCGGTAATAACAAAAACAAGCAAATTAAAATCACGTGCTTGACAATTTATATTAACATAATACAATACAAATAGGCGGACAAAAAGTAAAAATTTTATGAATAATATAAATATATGTGTATTATAAAATTAACCATCTATCCCAAATCCAAAAAATGAAATCTTTTTATTACAAGCTATTTTGAAGTCGCTTTTCATTTTTCAGTTTCACAAGTTTTTCTACAGCTTCTTCCAGAGGAATGGTTTGACCTTTTGCCTTGGTACCTACATCATCTCTATTACGAATATTAACTGATTTGGTAGATTCTTCTTCACCACCAACAACTATTAATGAATTCATAAAAAAATTTAAGTAGATTAGTAATTAGATTATGTATAAATACATACTATTGATATTAATCTTGATGTAACTAACCGAAAATAAAGTTAAATTGAGCAATTTCAGCATTTCGAATCTTTTTATTTAAAGTATTTTCACCCAAATCGTATTCAACATATAAACCAGCGTCAAAACAAGCCTTAGAAACTACTTTAACGTAATCGCTAAAGGTATTTGCTACTGGAATGATCATCACTTGACGAGGAGACAACCAGAAAGGCCTTTAAAAAAGAAAAGGAGTGTTAGTCATTAGCATGATAAAAATGAATACCTAATAATCAATAAGTTATAAAACATTGGTCACCATTTCCCAGCAAAATGTTCAGCCAAAATGGCAATCATACGTTCTACTGAGCCCAATATAGCACGATGGATCATAACTGGACGAGCATATGATGATCCTTCAGAGTCACCAACCACGTTGGTATGATATTCAAGTTGAAACCGTTCAGGAAGTTGGAAATCAAGTTGTAATGTCGCACATTGATGCTTTCTTTTGATAGCATCCGATACAGTAATATCAATCTTGAATATGATTGTAATTCAGATTTAAAATTATGAGAATGGACATAGAATATTTGGTAATCACACGATTAATAAAGTATTAGTATTAATTAACGAAAGGGTTAATTAATGAAAGTATTAATTAACGAAAGGGTTAATTAATGAAAGTATTAATTAATGAAAATATTACTTTTGGACCATAAAAAGCACCATCACCAGGATTAAATTCCCACGGTTCGCCAAATTTATTAAGAGCCTCTTCCAGCCTCTACAAATAAAATAAATCAATCAATAACCAAAATATGTATAAATATTAAACATAATTAATAATTTAATTTAATTCACACCTTTTCAGCTTGATTCCAAACTTCGATAGTACCCAAGTACTTTTCAGGTCTAGTAGACAATTTAAGTTGGAAAGTGAAACCGAAAATGCCATAAACATGTTTTAAGAATTCCAGTGCAGCATTGATTTCTTCTTCTACCTGATAATGAAATAAAATTGATTACTCAAATGAAAAAGTATAATATGTATATATATATATATGTAAGATCAACTAACCTGATCATGTCGACAAAAGATATGAGCATCATCTTGCTGAAATCGCCTTACACGTGTCAACCCAGCCAAAGCACCACTTAATTCATTGCGATGTAAAACACCAAAATCAGCCAAGCGAATGGGTAATTCACGATATGATCTATCTCTATGCTTAAACATTAGACAATGGCCTGGACAGTTCATTGGTTTCAACGCAAATTTTTCTTTTTCGACTTCGAAGCAAAACATATTTTCCTGATGAAAAGATATTTCGATTTATAAACTTGTATGATTTATAAACTTGTACGTAAAATGGGACTAACAATTCGAGAGACAAACCTCGTAATTTTGTAAATGTCCTGATATTTCCCACAATTTTGTATTGTACATATTTGGAGTGATTACTTCATGATATCCCCTTTTCCGATATTCAGACTATATAATAGTATTTTCAAGTCATTAAACCTTATGAACAACAGACGTGTATAGCATAATTAATAATGCCGTACAATAATACAAACCTTGATAAAGTCCATGAGTGTATTGTAAATTCTAGTACCATTTGGGAGAAAGAAGCAGCTTCCAGGGCTGAGTTCATCAAAGAAGAATAACTCTTGATCCTATGATAAAATACGCATCAACATTAAATAAATGACTATACGAATGACAAGCAACATCAATCCAGGTAACAATAATACCTGGCCGATCTTTCTATGATGGCGTTTTGCAGCTTCTTCAACAAATTTCTTATATTCAGTCATTTGTTTTGTGTCCGGAAAAGATATACCATATATACGTTGAAGTGAATCATTTTTTGAATCACCAAGGAAATAAGATGCCGAATTCTAAAATATTTTATATTTTAATATTGATTATCATTTTGTCATTGATGCAATTCCATTATAATAATATAAATATAAATATATATATATATCTGGTTAGACATTTTAGAAAACTAACCTTTGTGATTTCAAAGGCTTTAATTTTACCAGTATGTGGGACATGAGGACCCATACACAAATCTATCAAAGGACCACAACGATACACTGTGGTGGACGTTCCATCAGGAATCTTTGAGTTAATTAGATAAACCTTATATTGGTTATGCTAACAAAAATAATGCGAATAATATTTATTAGTAATTTCTTTACAAATACAGTACCAACTATTAAGAAATACCAATTATTAATAATGATATTATTATAATAAATGAAAATACCTTAAACATTTCCAACAAATTTTCTTTGGAAACAACCAATCGTTCGAAAGGTTGCTTCTCCTTAATGGCTTCCTTCGCGATCGTTTTAAGAGTTTCATAATCGCTTTGGTGCACGACACTTAAGAAACATAATTAATTAATTAGTTTAATATTGAACATCAAATAACATGACAAATAAATATAATAATATATTTACCGATTTTTAATAGCCATTTCGTAGTAAAAGCCATCATCTAGAGGTGGTCCGATGCAAAGATGACATCCATAATGACGTTCGCAAGCCTCACCAAGAACATGAGCGCTTGAATGCCAAAATACCTTTTTTCCTAAGATAATATTAGTTTACGTGACAAATTATTTATGAGATAAATCGAATTAATTACCTTCATCGTTCTCAAAATCTAATAATTCCAAAGTACAATCTTTTTCAAGTGGTCGGATCAAATCAAATAATTGACCATTAACCTAATAAAAGAAAAAATATAGATTTATTTTTGAATCTTTAAAGAATTGACGAAAAATAAAATAGCAAACCTTGGCGATCACGATGCGTTCAGATAATGATTTAGATATCTGTTTAGCAAGGTCCATAGGGGTAGTTTCCCAAGCAATAGCTTCTTTCGTATTTCCGTCCGGAAAAGTTACAGTAATTGGAACGCGTGGCTTCTCTATACGAGCATTTGAGTGAGGGCAATGAATGTGTCACCTAAGTGTTCTAAGACGCATTACAATTGATCCGCGTTATAAAACAGATCTTTTGATGTAAAATGCAGACTTACTTTTGATTTCTTCATCATAAGCCGCTTTCCATTCTTCAAATAATTTGATACGATGTTGCAAATATTCGGGTGGAGGAGATAACTTTCATCATAGACCAAAAATTAGTAAAGTACAGTTAGATTATAAAATAACACAATAGTGATAATCACCTCTAAGGGGAATACACTAACAGCCCCTTCTTTAGAAGCTTTTTTTGTTTGTTTATCTTTTGAAACTTGAGGGCTCACATTAGGTTTTTCAACGCTAACAGCTTCACTAACCGAGGACATTTTTTTAAATTCTTTTCTTATCGTTTTCAAAAAAATGGACCTATTAATATTTTTATTAAACAGGTGCCTGATCATTGGTTTCTGACACAACACAGAAACGTGATTGAGTTTTGTAGATTCTACACAAACCATGTGATGGTCGCGTCACGTTACGGTCATCGACCGGAAAGATAGGTCGGAATTATAAGAACATTCGGAACTGGAAACCAAAATTACGTATTTGCATTGTCATGCTAACGCTAAACATTACATAAAAGTTAATAATCGATATTGTTATTAGCGTTAGCTTAGCACAATATTTTTCGTATCTTTTCTTCCTGAAAGAAAAAATAGAAATGCAAATGGTTATAGACGCGTTTTTAATATTGTGAACAAGTTGTTATTCCGTTAATTGCAAGAAACCAGCAAACTAAAACCTAAATAAGCTTTGAAATATATCGAACCTACCTATACCCCTTCAGCAAATATTTCCGTTAGCTTATCAGTATCAAATTGAAAATTACAATGACTGTGAAAATAAGCAATGTTCAGCAGCATAGCGGGCTTTATCATGATTGGCTAATTTTTGAAGATCATCTCATCATAATAAAGTCTTATTAAAGTAACG